AGATTCTCTGGGCTAATGTGCAGATTTGATCAGGTTTTAGTTGAAATCCATGCATATTAATTACCTAATTTGCATGATAATTAGCTAATTTTTAGCTGTTCCTCGATTGTTCCACTGATATCTAAAGAGCCATTCATTAGATTTTGATGAAACTTGGTACATAGATGTTCTGGACTAATGTACAGATGTGATTAGTTTTGGGTAAAAATCCATGCATATAATTGACCTAATTTACATAATGATTAGTCAATTTTCGGCTTTTCCACCGATATCTCAGGTACTAATCATCACATTTCAATGAAACTTACATAGATACATAGGACGATGCACAGACAGATATGTGAAATATTAATTACCTAATTTGCATAATTAATAAATTTTCAACTTTTGATACTATTAGTATTATTATTTCATTACTTTTTTGCACATAGATGCTCTAGAACAATCCAAAGACCTGATTAATTTAAAGTAAAAATGTGTACATATTAATCAACTTATTTGCATAATTAGTTTACTTAATTTTTGGCTTTACACTGATATCGCAAGTACTAATTATCCCATTTCAATGAATCTTGGTACATACATTGTAGATTTTCTAGGACAGTGCAGATCTGATTAGTTTTTGGTTAAAATCAGTCCATATTAATCACATAATTTGCATAATTAGCTAATTTTCATCTTTTACACTGATATCACATGTACTAATTATTCCATTTCAATTAAACTTGGTACATTGATGCCCCAGACAATGCACAAACCCGCTCAGTTTTGAATTAAATCATATTAATTACCTAATTTGCATACTAAATCATAATTTTTGGTTCTAATCGCATTTAAATGAAACTTGATACATAGATGGTCTGTGACAGTACTTATCTTAAATCAATGAATCTTGGTACGTATGTACTCTAACACAATGTGATGATCAAATTAGTTTTAGGTTTAATTGCATCTGTAATAATTACCTAATTTGCATAATAATTTACTTTTCAGCTTTCCACTAATTTAGTTAGGATTAATCACCACATTATAATGAAACTTTGTACAAGTGCACCCTGAAACAATAAACAGACCTAAATCTATGCATAACAATTGCTTAATTTGTATAATAATTCATTTGGCTCATTGAGATAATCCACTGACATGATTAATTTAATGTGATAAACAAGCATATTGATTATCTATTATTATGTTAATGTGTCTCCAATACTGTCGGCACACGGGAGTTGATTTGTTATTAGACTTGTGTTTTGACCTCTGTGTGTCCGTCCGTCCGTCCGTCCGTCCGTCCGTCCGTCCGTCCGTCCGTCCGTCCGTCCGTCCGGACCTGTATCTTAGTAATGCTTGGACCAATCACATTCAAACTTCACACATACATCATACATGATATTATACATATGCACGTCAATTTGTTTCACGATCTAATTCACGATGGCCGAATGGCAGCCATTTTTTTGGGCTAAAAAACCATAAAAATCAAGCATTTCTTGGATTTTGTTCAAACTTGGTATATACATTAGACATTATGGGACCTTGATGCAAATAAATTTTGTTTTTCAGATTAGATTAAAAATGGCCGACTGGTGGCCATTTTGTTTTAATGTATGTGGTTCTCATGCCATATGTCTGACTTGCTTTCACTGATTATGTTCAAATTTTAAATATTCATTATACATCATGTCGTAGATAGATAAATATATTTGTTTGACGATCCTATTCAAAATGGTCGAATGGTGGTCATTTTTGTATTAAATAATCATCAAATATCAAACATTTCTGGCATTTATGGATGGATTTCGTTCAAACTTGGTACATATATTAGTCATAGCAGGTTTCTGATGCACAGCATTTATTTTTCAGATTGGATTCAAAATGGCTGTCTGGCGGCAATTTTGTTTTAATGATTGGGCTTCTAGAGCCATATCTCTTAAATGCTTTGACTGATTATATTCAAATTTGAAATATGCGTTATACATCATGTTATATATATATATATACATATATATACATGTATTCAAAATGGCTGATTTTGAATGCTGTTCCAGAACAATATCTCTCAATATGGACAAGTACTTGTTTGACGATCATTTTAATGTTAAAAAATCATATTCCTGACATGGTTATATTCCAGCTATATTACTATAAACAAAACTATATATCTTAAATTCGATAATTAACGGGGACTGTGCCATGCATGGCTTGTTCTTTTTGTATCAAATGCATTGAGATTATTTATGTAATGCACTATATAAAAAATAATATTATTATTATAAAAATATTATTAATATATTTGATTTTAGAGGGGCGACTGGGTCTTGGCTGAGTACTGGGTGGTTCACAATGTTACTGGCTATTAATATATGTGATTCTATCAAAGTATATGGAATGGTTGAAGCTGATCACTGCAGGTATGTATTAGGTGATTCTATCAAAGTATATGGAATGGTGGAAGCTGATCACTGCAGGTATGTATTAGGTGATTCTATCAAAGTATATGGAATGGTTGAAGCTGATCACTGCAGGTATGTAGTGGGTGATTCTATCAAAGTATATGGAATGGTGGAAGCTGATCACTGCGTGTATGTATTAGGTGATTCTATCAAAGTATATGGAATGGTGGAAGCTGATCACTGCGTGTATGTATTAGGTGATTCTATCAAAGTATATGGAATGGTGGAAGCTGATCACTGCGTGTATGTATTAGGTGATTCTATCAAAGTATATGGAATGGTGGAAGCTGATCACTGCGTGTATGTATTAGGTGATTCTATCAAAGTATATGGAATGGTGGAAGCTGATCACTGCAGGTATGTATTAGGTGATTCTATCAAAGTATATGGAATGGTGGAAGCTGATCACTGCAGGTATGTAGTGGGTGATTCTATCAAAGTATATGGAATGGTGGAAGCTGATCACTGAAGGTATGTATTATGTGATTGTCATCATCAAAACAATAAATAGTCTAATTCACTGTGATCTATAATTTCAATTTTGAATCACCTTCAAATGGTTACTCTTTTTGGGAATAAGAATTTATTATTTTAGTGTCAAAGTGTCAAAAATTGCAACATTGTGTTCAGCATAGCATTTGAAAAAATATTAGGACAAATTACCCAGAATACATCACTGTAACACGCAGAAGAATGCTATTTCATGGTGCCATGGGACTTTAGCTTCATGATTTTACATAATAAACCATTAAACATTGTCATGCGATTTATGACCAACTATCTCAAAAATTATGAGTTAGGCTTCTACCTTAAAATGATGATGATGGTGTGTGGCACAATGGTTTTCATGTCCATCCATAATAGAGAGTTTGTGAGTTAGACTCCCTCGGTTAGCAGTTTGTGGTATTTGTAATGGAGAGAGAATGGTTTCTTTTTGATGAACATAAAATCTGTTTGTCCTTTGTGCTGCTCCTATCCTCAGTGCATGTAAAAAATCCAGTTGTACTTGTCACAAAGAGTGGCAATGAACAGGTTTAATTTCAACATTCAGCCAGCCAGCCAGCCAGTCATTATTGGCTCTGTATACCTTGCTGTGATTCCAAAATTCTTATGAATGATGACCATTATGAACTTTTCTTCTTTGCAATTGTGGTTGTTCTGAGATTACCCGTACCGTGTGCAGGAGACTGTCTGAAGAGTACTGAACGTTTTACGGAGTAAATTCTATTGTTTTCGATGTCATAATAATAACCCAATTTAGCTTTTCCACCAATGTCTCGAAAACACATCAGATTCAATAAATTAACCAATTTATTAGTGTTCTACAGATAACTTGAGTACCACTCATCAAATTTCATTGAAACATAGGTGCTTTTGGATAATTCGCAGATAGGCTTACTTCAGGGATGAAAATGCAAATTAATTACTGTTTTGCATAATTAAAGGTCATGTGACCTCATTAATATGCATAGCTGTAATATCTCAAGCACTGTTGCAGATAAGAACGTGCAACTATAGTGCTATAATTGAGGCATTGCACAAGAGATATGACTAACATATACTGTACTGGACCACGTTAGCGCCAACTCCCCACTTTTGGGCAATATTTATATTTGGGGTCACATTCGGCAAACTTGGTCTTTGATCATTGCTTTGATCATTGCTTAATAAATACAGGTAATCTTTTTTATATGATACAGTGTGGATATCGACTGTTGTGAATATGTTGTGAATGCGTAGACCATGTTATCCGTGCGTAAACTACGCTTCAACAATGACTTGTTAATAAAATTTAAATGCGGTAAATATTTCATGCCATATTCAGTTTACCTATAAATATTAATTGCTTGTTTTTTTTAAAAAAACATGCCGTTTATTTGATGAAATCAATTCCAACAGATCATACTTCGACATTGATAATTCACTTCTGCATTGTGTTATCAGAAAATTTTCAAGAATTGCGTCGGTACAACACAGCATTCTGATTGGTTAATAACAGACATGACCCATTGGGTCAAAGGACGTTGTTGCAGGTCAAATCATGCAAATACATCATGGCGGAAAGTGCTTTTCATCAAGAGTTTGTGTACGATCTAACACATTTGTCAGTGGAGATAATGATGAAGATTTTGACTTCAACTAATAAAGTACGAACTCGGCAATATCGGTAAACGGTTTCATCTTTATTAGAATCCCGTTCACAGAAATAAAGTCTGCACAGCTCCAGAAAACACAAGGAGCATGTGACTCAAAGTACTGCACATGCGCAATTCACTGCATGAAAGGTCAACCGGATGTTTATCCCAATGCATGGTGGGAGTTTATCGTACATCAAGTTAACAATCTCCTCTATATTTTTTGTTGTTAAAGAAGCAGGTTTACAAACTAAATATTATCTGACAAGATCAAAATCACAGAATGTAGTAAATTTCCAAAATCCCCTCTTGAAGTACCTTCAATAACACTAGCGGAGAAGCACCTCTCTGAGTGAGGCAGTCTGCAAGTTGATTTTTACTTTCAGACCATAGGAACTCTTTAATCTGATTGCTTTCAATCAGTTCCTCTAATACCACTAACCTCTATATGTAGTCGTTTTTCACTGACTAGTTTAGTGGATTTAACAGCTTCATACAAAGACTTACAATCAGTTACACAAACAAGTGGCAACTTGGTATATCTACTATCACTACCTGTCAGTTCTACATACAAAGTTGAAATGAACATTGCAGAATCGATGCCATCGGCCATGGCAAGTGTTTCCCCAGCTAAAGTGCTACGCACTACCCGGCGAATCTTCTTTGAATTCCAACAAATCGGTGAGAATTTTCCAGTTTCCCCCATGAGAAAAATTAAATATCCTCCTTGACTACTGCCATCAGGAAGATTACCCAGTGAGGCGTCACTGAAGACTACTAAGGACAATTCACCATCACCCAAATGCTGAAACTTAACGGGTACACTATCCGATTTAAGTTTTCTAACTGGAGTAAAATATAAACAAAACATATTCACTTTAAACACAATAATAATATGTGCATAATGATTACCTTGTTAGCACATAACAAATCTCTAACCTGACATACATGCATCGAACAGTACATCTGGGCGACTTTGACATGCTATCCACAGTATCTGTCCTACTTTAGATCTCAGTAAGTCCTTCTCATTTTCAGTCAGTGGTGATTCTGTTTCTAACACTCTGGCTCTTGCTATCTGAATAGGAATCAGGTTGTTGGCATAATCACTTTGTTCAAGATAAATCTGGCTCTTTTCACTCACCAACACAATCCCGACATATTTAAAAGCTCTTCCTTTCCAATACAGAAACGTAAACGAATTTGACTCATCACTGATTCCTCAAACTTAGAATCACCTGCCCACATAAAATCATCTACAATGACAAATACACCAATTAAATTCACTCTCTCATCTACCCAATAAAATACAGCAGGGTCTACTTTGGACATCTGTGCTCCAGTCTCAATCATAACAGCTTTCACTTGATAATACCAGTGGAGAGAAGCATCCCCCAACCCATATACACACTTTTGCAGATGCCATAATTTGTTTGGACAATCTGCCTCCCTAGGTGGACGTATGAAAACATCCCTTTCTATTTCTTTACCCTGTAAGAAAGCAGTTTTAAAGTGCCTGTGCAATGCCCACCCTCACGTTTCCCATTTTAGATCTGTGTCCCACTGAAATGGGCAGTTATTGATTTTTTTGCTGAAAATGATTACTCGTATCCAAGTTAATTTGGGATATTTCTCGCCCACATATCCTGAAACGGTCGACTGTTTCCGGATTTCCGACTCTCGCCGAAAGTGCGCCACCAAATGCCAAAAAGTCATACCACTGAGCTGTAATAACACTGGTCATTCAGTAAACTTTTAAACGATATACATTTTTCGGTCAGCGTTTTTTTCTTCTTTTTTTTTTGTCTATTTTTTTTTTTTTTTTCAAGAGAGTTTTTAGATGTTGTGTTATGAGCAGTTGCAGTGAAACGTATAGTCATAGTGTAAGTATTCACACGTTTCTTTTTTTTGGAAAAACTGTCCTCGTCCATGAAAAAAACAACTAGCTTTAAAAAGAAACGCCGACAACAGAAACCTGGCGCAACACTTTTGAAAGAAATAGAATCCGGACCATAATCACCAAGGCAGATTTCAGAAGAGAGAGAGAGAGA